AAATGATTATCACTGTATTCCAGTAGACGACAAGAGTAGACGTGGCAATTTATACTGGAAACATTGCCTTTAGAGGGGTCAAGGGKGTTGCATTTTTCATATGGTGTTGCTAAAAAAATATCAAAGTTCACATTTGTGTGGTGCAAGCATTTTGACAGCGATTGTATGCGTCCAGTTTATAAGTCATTTGAAGTCACACAAAGAATGAACAAATACAAAATTATCAAGTATTAGTACTAAGTGGGTCACAATATCTTGAAAAAGCCAGGACGCAACATTTGTACTTTCACAATCATTGACTTTATGGATGCTTGGAAATTATGATGAAAGTCACAGATCCCTTGGTTTCAGCCATTGAGGTTTCTCCTATTCTTTYATGCATCYTATCTATCCTCCCTTCAAGGCTTTCGCCTTCTCCTCCCTCCCCGGACCTTACCCCTCCTCTTCACCCTTTTTKCMTTTCCCCCACCCTTTCCCTTGCGGATCCACCAAACTAAGGATAATTTGTCATTACAAAACAAAGATCATCAGTCAAAGCAAACGTTAACGGGTGATACCTTCAAATCAGTAAACGATCAGAATGAAAGGTCTGCTCGTTTTGCTCGTGTGTCAGCGTTGTCTCTGTTCCAGTGTTTTGATAAATCCCCTTTGTATGATTTTAACATACATTTTTCTCGAATTTAAAGTTTCCCTTATTAGCCTGGACAATGTTGTTTGTGTTTTTGTTGTTTTTGTTGTTGTTTTTTTTTCATTTTTATGCTGATTAAAGATGTTGTATCTGGACTATTTTCTATTGTTATGTTTGCCTAATATTTATTATKAATTCTCATAGTTTTGTATTCCAAAGTCATGTTTCCGCAATGAAGATCTTAACAGAATGAAACGTCGATCAATTTTTTGAAATTACGATGAAATGAACAATTCTTTTGCACAAATATTTCCCATCTCTCTCCTCTGCAACGTGTTCTCTTATCGCCTCCAAAGTCTCGTTTACTTGTTCACTTGTAACCGAATAMCGGAAGTTTTGAATCCATGTCATACAGTCAAGAATCATGTTGCCTTCATTCGATTGCTCGTCGAATATTTTTGCTACRTCAAGATTATATTCTTTTGTGTCGATCGAGTATTTCCAGTTATGTTTCTTGGCAATTTCCCGGATTCTGAGAGCAACATCCTCCATAGACATAGACATGGTTGCATCTTTTGGCAAAAGATGAAACTGCTTGTGGAATACCATGGAGACAACATCTTTACCTGTCGTAACGATGAATGTTTTTCCATGTTTGCCAAGTAAATTATAGAAAACATCAAGCAATATTTTTTCAATATCAGCACCGAAAAAATGTATGCTATGCACAAAATGCACAATATCAAAGATGTTCTTTGCATCAACAGGAGCTTCCATGTAGTGTTCCAATGAAGTATTGCTAAAGCAGAACGTCGTGTTATAAGCCAGGGGAACGCTCTTCAACCT